TTTGCAAGCAAACCCCATTTATATTCAGTATTTCAACAACCATAGTAATTGTTATATAACACCTACCGCTGAGAATGATGAGAATTGCTGAGAATCAAACGAACTGTTTTCAATTTGATCAATTTTCTGGAACGTTTACAATTGTTCTATAATCGAACCGATATGCAATAAGAAATTCGAATTTAAAATGGTTCAAACATTTGGTTAAAAAATCGAAATATATAAAAATATTTATAACAATGTCTGAAATGTTATCAATTTAATACACGTAAGAACTCAATGAAGATTAAACGTAGTTAAAAAACAAAAAATCGCGTCTAAAATAGTACAGTAGAAGCCGTTCTTCGGGTTAAGCCTTAATGCTCTCCCGCTCCCCAGCAGGAAAATTTCAAAAAATCCCTTCTTAGTGTGCGTTTTCATGATGTACCCTAACTGTGTACCAAATTTCACATCTTTAGGTTCAGCGCTTTGCTCTGGGCGATGATGAATCAATCAGTCAGTCAGTCAAGACAAGTAATTTTATATATTTAGATAATAAAAATACACATATACACAGTCTTGCATTTTTATCAGTCATGTTGTTTTTCAGTTTGTGGGACATTATAGAATCTGTCCAATGTCGATTGTTTTTCTCTCTTCAGGATTTTTCAGAAGTAATTAATAGCATCGTCGTCGTCAAGATCCCCATGTCTCTTAACCTCAACCTGGTTTGGATGCCATTCTAAGACCGTTGTTCTGATATCCCCCCCCACTTCTTCAAAACATCTTTAATAGCAGATGTCGGCATTGATCTTCTTTTGTCTTCCTATTTTTTGTAAAATTTTTCTAAAAATCCATAAAATTTTGCTTAAAAAAAACTGTAATTTTATGAATTGACCAGCATATAAGCCCGGCGTTGCTTGGGCAAAAAGAAACGATANTAAAAAAAAAAATATAAAACAGAAAAGTTAAAAAATTAGTGTTAAATTATTTTCAAGTTATTGTTACATTATGTTTTTTAAGTTAAGTTTTGTATCATTTCCCTTCTCCCTCTCCTCCGCCACCAGTTTACACCTCCACCGTTGTCTATCCTCAGAGGTAAAGTGCAAATAAAACTATATTTTTTTTTATCAATTATTATTCTACTATGGTTATTTATACATTTACAACTACAAAAAGCATTTTTCTGCGTTTTCCTTACTATAGTTATTTTTTAAATGTACTACTTAGCTTTAATTTGGGTGTGTTTTTCGTGTTGGAACGAATTATTTGATTTTACGTGTAATCGTATGGGGAAAAATAATTCATCTTACGACATTTTCATGATACGATCTCAGTTTCGGAACGGATTAATTTCGTATCCTGAGGTACTGTCCACTGTACTTTACTCCTGTGCTGCTCCTATACTTCCCTACACGTCACTCTACGCCATTTTTATATTTCACGGAATTTTTTTTCGAATTTTACCGAGTTACGTAGGCCTAAAATACATTTCTTTATTTTCCAGGCTAGAAGACAGCAAGGAAGAACCGAATCGAATTCCGCAACCTCCACTAATTCCAATTAGTTTCTACAGAAGTAGACTCCATCATTGTGTATATATTTAAGTATAATAAGTTACGGCTTATTACTCCTTATATTTTCATTATTATTATACCAAGAGCCGGCGTGTACAGTATTTATGGTTAAGTTATAACGAGGATTGATCCCCCGAGTATCCGGTCACGAGGGAGGAAGAACACCGACTGAGCTGTTGTGTTGCGGTCAAAGGTCGCATTCGCTGCTGCCTTTTGTGTAGTTAGGTCAGCGCTGACCACCGCCCGTCACACTTCCTATCTGTTACAATGTAGTGTAACTTATGCAGTGTTATGGCTTAGACGTGTGTATTATGTACTGTACGTTCCAGAGATTTTTATATATATATAAAATATATAGAAATACTCCTGATTTTTGGTTTCTTCAACGGATTATCTACGTCATACTTACATATTTAAAATTGTTCGTTCGGCGTAAGGAGTGCCGGAAATGACGTTTTAAATTAATTAACTACCTTCGAGTCGCGTCGCGTCGCTTTCCTTGGAGCGCGAATTCGCGCTCCAAGCGTTGTTGGAGTTGATATCGCTGTCATTTATATACATAAAAGTTTCTAACGTGTTCGAGAATATTTTCTACAGTTTGTTTTTTTACTCTTGAAAAGAAACTCAGAATTTAATACGTTATTTAACGCGTGTCGCGTACGGACTATACAGCGACCTACTTTCAAAACTAATTTCTTCTCGTTGTTAATTATTATTAATTTTCTTTAAACATTAACTATAATTTAGAAAATACTTATCAAAATTGCCTGCTTTTAAAAAAATAAAGGAATATTAATTATTATTTACGAGCTTTTAAACGCGTTAATCGATGCGCGTATTCGTCGCGTACTAAATATCTCATTACTCTAAAGTTATGTTTAATTTTTATTAAATAAACTATTATTTTGTTAATTATTATTAATTCATTTAATGATAATTAAATTCTCTTTAAAAGCATAAAAATATTAATCAAATCTGTGCACTTATAATATATACAAAAGAAAGTGTGCGTCGCGATTGCCTGGCCACGCGACGCGCTGTGGCATGTATCACGCCCATATCACTCGTGTATAACAAAACACTATAGAGTTATGCAAATCATTAATTTGCATATTACAAGAGCACTTAATAGTTAAAAAAATCAGCCAGAATGTGTTTTCTGGCACATGAATCAAGGAATCGCGTGATACTTCGACATCCCCTTCCAACTTTACACACATAAAACTCATTAATTTTACATTTTATAGGCTCGTACACAAGTCAGAACAGAATTAAAGGTAAAAAGAGGGGTCCAAACTCACTGGACGTGTAAACAAAAGTTGGAGAATTAAATTTCTGATGGATCCACACCCTGGAGCCATCTCTACCCCATTTCCGTTGGAACAGGAAATGAAACGTATTTAAGTAAATTTTCATTTCTTTCCAGTTTGCTATTCGAATTACGTCACACATCGATTCGAAAAATTAATTTCCCAACTTTGCAGTGACGTAAGAGTGCTAGCTTACCCCCCTTAGACACGCTCGACTTCCACGTGTTTTTTGGAGGTCGTGTGACGTGAACGGCGTGTGGAATTTGTGGAAAAAATGGAAACGAGGTCCCCAGTTGACAAAAATGGTGTTTAGTGCATGATGGATGGACGGGGTGGTGTATCGAACGACAGAAAGGACAAGGCGCTAATCACAGCTTACGACTTGACCTTTGCACCCGGCGTCATTGAATGCCCCGTTAACGAGCGGAAAAAAAATATGAGAATGAAAAGGTATACTTAAATTTTAACATCGTTAACCTCTCGAATATTTAGAATAATAAAAGATCGAATGAAAATTCTTTATCTTGCGAATAATCGAACACGTCACTCGAGTGGAAGTGGGTTATTTTCTTATCTGATATGAAAGAAACCTGGCGATAAAGACATCATAAATTACTTAAAAAATAACTTTTAAACACTAAAAGAATGAGATTAACTACTTTATTAGTTACATTTTATAGTGTACTAAATGATATCCACGTAACTTCGATGATATCTATCTTATTAACAATTGATGTGATACGACACACTATAGGGCACTCACAACTGCAAATTCCAGTCCATACTTTCATATTTGGAAGAATGTCAGAAAACAACTTAGAAAATGTGGATAAAAAACGCTTTTCTAACGAATTACACTCGTCTAATCGATATTAAAACACGATTTACAACGCCTTGCTTCATGATCCCTCAGCATCTTGAAGCATCCGTTCTTCAAGATGTACTGTAAAGTACATGTACTGTACCACGTGAAAATTCCTCGAATTATTATATTCTTTAGAATAATTAATATTGGAAGCATCCTAGATGATGATAATTCAGTTTTCCTAACGTGTTGGATCTATAAATGCGGTTTTCAGTCGAAGAAAGTGGATTAAAAATATGGAATTCACCAATTTACTTCACTTCTACTAAAAACATTGACTGGAAAATCTTAATATTAAATAAGCAAATGATAATTTTGAGTGGAAAAAAATTTTATATATAATTAACGAGAACAGCATTAATTAGGTGTATTAAAAAAAGACGAAAAAAAAAAAATAATGGCGAAAATGGAGAGCTCAAGATTGATGAATCTTCGAACCATTAATAAACAATCATCGGCCACACGGGCTTTATTCTTAACCACCGGTTTGGCCGAAAAATGTCAATAAACCAATTAATATGTAGCCCAGAGTCAAAAATTTCCAGAATTTGGTAAAAGTAGTCATTTGGCTCCTTTTTGGGGGGTTCAAGCGAATAATTTTGGCAAAATTTTTACACTCGACCGAAAACTATTATTACGACGAGAGAGAGTTAGTAAAATGCATAGCCGTTGTCAAGATCTATTTGGAGAAGGCGGTACTAAAACCCAACTAAGGAGAGGCTCTCCCATCTGCAAGTCGACACCCCTCCTGTAAGGGAGCGCCCAGATATAAGGAGAAGTAAAAAAAAAAAAAAAAAACCATTCGTTTCTATCAAAAATGGCTGTCAACAACGGGCGTGGTCATTGCTACAAATTAAATAAAAACCCTTCCAGATTCGTTCTTAAGTTACCTTTCTCCTCCAGCCTCGTAGAAGAAGTATTAACCTAGCACTTTTTTTAGGTCCCCGAAGGGATGCATCGAGTTATCACACGCGGTGGCAGTCGGACAGTCCCCCTGATTTATAGCTACGATGTTCAACCTACAATTTACCAGATAATTTCTATAATTTGGCAACAACTTCCCCGCTTTATTCATCTAACATTGTCAAGAAACCCCCAAAAAAAGAGGCTAGAAACTCTAACACACGAATAAATTTAAGCATCCCCCGACGACAAATGAGTCTATACCACTAAGAAAAATATTAATTATCTATTTAAATAAGTAATAAGCAAATTAATCACTAAGTTTTTTTAGGGGTTAATTAAACCCCCGAAAACCTCCGTTGCTAATGATTGCCGTCTGTATACATGATATCGAGTTTTGTTAACGCTTCGATATCGATGACAGATTATTCTTTTAGGAAACAATTCTGCAAAACCTGCTTTATTTGGACAATGGTACTGCCTCCTGTCAGTGAGCCACAATGGCAACAATGTTCTATGGTCTTCTTTTCGACTCCCCCTTTTTTTTGTTATTGTGTCTGCACGACTTGTAGGAATCATAAATCAAATCGTTACTTTCTACATTAATCTTGATTTTTTTAAACAGTTTTTGACCCCTGAAATAATTGTTGAAGAGATTTATTCAAAAAAAGGCCTTAAAAAGTATATTTTGATACTTTTTACATACAAAAACAGAACTTATAATGCCTTATAAGTATCAGTCACATCTCTATAAACTGATGTTTATCACTTATTTATAATTACAGTATCTTAATTTATTTTCTTTTAAAATAGTTTCAGCGTTAAATTAATTTAATGTATGAAAATACTTGGATATGGATCCACAAAATCAAATTTCTATCCTTTTTTTTTCATGTAATCAATCAATTTAGAGGGGCCAATTCTTTAAAATTAATGATTTTTAGCTCATAAATGTTGGTCTTTAATATAAGGATAAGATCTATTTCAGAATTATTTATTGTGTTATGTTCATGGTAACTTCATGAACAAAAGCTCCTCATTTACGGCACTAAACAGATAAGAGAATGCCTTACCTATGGTGTTTTTAATGTCATCAATTCATGGTCTTTGTGGCCTAACTCCTTTTCCAAGTCCTCATAAGCTGTCAAATGCACAGTTTTAGCTTTCATCAAGACTTCAGGAAAATAATCTAGTTTATTTTAATCAAGATGATTCTTCTGGATCACTTCTAGATCTTCAGCAGTGTCTTTCAGACCCACACCTGAAAAAATCAATCCGCTTTTAAGTTTACTATAAAGAAAAGATTTTAGAGGATTCTTAGTATACTAAATTAAGAGTTCTATATAAACATCAATATTTAAAATATGCAAGCAAGTAAATATTTTAGAATTTTTATTGAATAATTAATTAAGAAAAACAAGTTTCTTCACTCTCAATGAAGCCAAATAACTTAAACACTCCCCAAAAAGTATGAAAAAAAATTGAGATTTATAAACTTTCCACTTAATTTTAAATGACTATTCTTAGTTATTTTTCTTCACCATAAAGCATAATTTCTGTCATATTTATTACACTTTAACCCTATTTAGATCTGTTTACTTAAACATTTGATAAATACTGTATTTAATTATACGTCTTAATCTTAATTTAAAAATTCTAATGGTAAACTTGGTGTAAGAGCACAAATCATTTAATTGATGTAAAGTCCCTTAGACACCTTTTGATTAATTAGTAGAAAATTTTGTTAATAATTTATGCAAAACAATATAACTTAATTCGTTTAAAGTGGTTTAATTTAATGATAATGATTTTCATTTTAAAATTTTTATTATAAGGTTTCAGAGAAGGAAAGTAATAATAACCGAGCTGCACATGTAACACGTGTTGAAAATTGTGCAAAACACGCCAACACATGCAGAAAACCGTTAACCAATTTGAAAACCACTTTTCGGACTAAATTCATAGATCTTTCCGTTCTTTATTTACAGGAAGAACACGCTTTACTGATCGAAAAAATCGAGAGGAATCAGTATCTGAGATCATTAAACGAGAACCAGCTCCTACTGTACAGGACACAACAGGAATTAAAAGTCGAGTGCGAAATGGAGGTGAGTAGGGACGGTTGTCGGTCCGTAATTTTCCGAGATTAAAAGTGTAAATTATCATTTCCCGAACGGATTTTTACGCGCCACGTGGACATATATAGAAAAAGAAATCAAAGGGGGATGCTGTAAAATCTCTACAACAGGGCAGATGTTAAAGGTGGGAAATTAATGGTTACTGCACTACTTTGGTAGGGACAAAAGACGTTTGATTGACAGTTTCGACGCCTCTTTCTCCATTTCTATTCTTTACGTCTCCAACCGATATGACAGCTGCTCGTTGGATTAAGTTTAATTGAGTAAATCTTACGAGGGACGATGCTACACGCTAAAGATCTTGGACAGATGTCACTCTTCCTGCATTTCACTAATGAACTGTTCTTACATTTTTGCTTTTACTTTATTTCGCTTCTGAACTGTTCCTATGTTTCGTTCCTGATCTCTTCCTACACTTCGCTCCTGATTTTTCCTACAATTCGCTTCTAAGCTGTTCCTATATGTCGCTCCCGATCTCTTCCTGCACTTCGCTTCGAATTGTTCCTCCACTCCAACTGTGTGCCATTCCTATACAGTGGTACCTCAGGATACGAACGCCCCAGCATACAAAATTTTCAGGATACG